ACTAAGATCACTCATCCCTGAAAATTTCAGCTCAAGCGGACCATCCTAAGTGGGAGATTTTTTCTGAGGGGGGGGGGTCCCCTTAATTGAGCTACGAGATTAGGAAGAATTAAGATACCTGAATCAGTACTCACTTTTCAGGTCATAGCACATTTCCACGATAATGTTATTAAGACAAATTGCGTGAGAATTCAAAACAAAAGACTTGTTACTTTTTTTGGCTAACAGTAAAGACCGTTTAAATAGGTAGAAAAAAAAATTTTTTTAGAACTTTTCAATGTGATCACAACAATTAATACAGATATTCTGTAATCAATACCAATTCTTCACATTAACAATGCGAAATTCTCAGACCAGGATATTAGAACTAATTTGCAACAGTTCTTTTCCTAGAAATACTTCGTATTCAGCAATATATTTTCTAAAAAGTGATAATATAATTGACGAAAATAGTAGTTGAACTATTTTAGTGATTCTTATATCGTGATCTAACTCTACAACTTGTAGTTTTTCATTGGTTCACAATTAACTTCCGTTTATGCGTAGAATATGGCACTTAGTGCAAACTTCTATTCTCTTTAAATAATTAAGATTTTCCAGTGGAACGGATTATCTCTATATTCTTACTGATGATGAGCATTAGACGATATATTTTATTTTTGAGTACTAAAATAAATTTTCTAATTTGAATGATTGATATTCCCGGAATCGTTAAGATTGCTTGTATAATCTATTTTATTGAAAAATGAAAAGCTCTTCTCGATATAAACTAAAAGGTATATTGCAAATGGATAAAATTTGGAAAAAAACCTACCAATTGGAATATCAATCAAAAAAAGGTTTGCTGTTCATTTAGCTGTTGTTTCTCTTTCCACTGACACGTATTGTTATTTCACAACCATTATCAAAATAAAATGTTATCATTTGTGTTGATGCTGAACAAGGAAGTATTAGTTTTTTATCTTTACCTTGACTAACAAAATCAGCTGCAATTTCAATAGTCAAATCTCTAACATCAGTTATATGAGAATTAGCACATGTTTTTGGACGAATATATTCTTCATCTTTAGAATCTTTTCGTTGATTTTCATCAGCATCTAAATGAGATTCACTACGATGAACTGGTGTATTTTCCTAGAAGAACATAAATCCACTAAAGAAAAATTTGCAAATTCGAAACCAAAAAGAACATGTTTTTTATCATTAAGTAATTGATATGATATATTTTCGAGTCATTTAAAATCTGTTAATGTATCAATTGTATTAAAATCTTTAACTTCATCAATTGATTTAAGTATGTGTGATGAAACAGTTGAATAAATCATATAGACATCTTTAAGATCAATTGTTGGATTTCGATTACGCCAAGTAAACCAAAGCTACCAACTTATTTAATAAAAATAAATAATAATTCTTTACTTAAATAAAATGGTAAGTTACCAAGTAAAGCTCCTAATAGATTTCCAGTTAAAATTCTCCAACCAGTTTGTGCTGATCCAGTGATATCTCTTTCAATTAATGCAAATCGATCAGCATCTGAATCAGTAGGTATAATAAAATCTGCGTTATTTTTATTTGCTATTGCAATAGCACATTCAGGTGTTTCATTTCCTTCTTCTAGATTTGACTATTTGACTGTTGAAAAATTAGGATCAAGATTTTTTGTTGTTCATCAACTGAAATAAATAGTTGAAATGTAAATGCAACAAATGCTTGTTCAGCATATGATTGACCAATACCATGAACAGAAGTATAAACAAGTTTTAATGGTGTTGACGCATTGAATTCGGAAAAATAACATAAATTTGATATATGTATATATAAATCACGAATCTTAAATTATAAATATATTCAAATAAAGAGTTTTTTATCTCTGAAATAAAAGTTTCACCTTTTTAATAGGATCAGAAACTAATTTGGAGTTGTTATCTTTGAGTATATATAAATTTCATGCTTTTCCTTTCCACAGTTCTAAATTAGCTTCAATAGAATCAGCAATATGTGCGTCTAATAGTGAAATGATTTGTGCACATCATTTTTCCAATAAACTTTATAATCATGATCATCTTTTGGATTATGACTTACTGTTACCATAATACCAGATTGACATTTTAATTTTTTTTGAATGGAAACTGCAATAGATAATGTTGGAACTAATATCACTTCTCTACCTTCTAGACAACCTTTCCTATTCCTCTGCAATATGGGATTTATCTTTTTTTTTTTGAAATATCATTTATCTCATTGAAATCAGAAGAAATACGATTAGAAAGTTGCGAAAGTTGTTTTGCAATAAAAAATTCTAAAACAAAACTTTTTTTAAAATCAAGAAAAATGAACAAATTTCGTCGTAGTACGTCAATTTACTGAAATTTAGTTTATTAAAAATAATCCGGAATGTGAATTCTATTCATCTATAGAAAAAAAAACTATAGACAAAATGTTGAAATACTCTCATTTTCTAGAAGCTTGCTGTCGTCTTTGTATTCTATTTCTTTTGTATTGTCACACTGTTAAAAAATATTTCGAATTTTCTTTATTAGGCATTTTTTTCAACGAAGACAACATCTTTTTACATAACTAAACAAGAGTTCAATTAAATATCTGAAACATATTCGAACGATATCTTTTCTTTTAAGCTGCCATACGTAAGAAGTAACGTCAACGAAGAAAAGTAGCTGTTTCTTTGAAGAGATAATTTCTGAACCATGTCTAAACAAAAAATGTAATACGAACATTAACTAAAAACGAAAAAAGATTTTTTTACTTGAGCATAATAGTTCGGAACATTAAGATCTATGGCAATACTTTTCATTTCATCTACTTTAAGAATATTATTATCTTGAGAAACTAAAAAAATATTTTATCAAATATCTTACACTGTTCAAGAGAGTCTAATTGTTCTTTTGTTAACATTTGTACCATTCGTGAGGCACGTTCAGATCCTATAATTAGGTTACAACATTCACTTTTACAAGTATTTTCTTCATTGATTTCATTCCTATCTTTCTCTAATTCGAGATAATTATGATTCATTAGAAATGAAGAAATTGAATAGGGAGAAACAAGGAAAGATAATGTTGGTTTGTATGCGCTTTAACTGGAAATGCACGAACAATGTTCTATATTCTGTATATATATATATATTGCTAATGAAGAGAGGCCACTATAGAAACTGGCATATAGAATTTTAATATTTTAGAGTAGGCGACAAATTCGTCTATATTAGTCCTATATGTTCAATAGAATCAATATGATCAAACAATTAATATTATGAAAAGAATGCATTTCTTATGAAAAAAATACGTAGAGTTAGGAATAAGCACAATTTTTTCTATTGAAGAAAAATCAACAATAGTTTGTATTTTCCGCAAAATAATAATGAAAAATGATTTTCTTATAAGAAGCATGAAATTTACACATTATTAGTTTCAATTCCATGACTAACTCAAATAATTCACAATTTGAAACATTTTTATTCTCTAAGAATATCAAAATTGAAAAATTGATTTTAATAGATTTTCAGAGGTCATATAATTACCATCAAATGTGAAAAAAAACACTTTTTCATTCACAATATTTTGATATGCACATTTAAATGTTTAGCATTACAATATTATTTTGGGAAAGTTACTTTTTGATCAGCAAATTTAATTATTGTAACATAGTTAGTATAACGCAGTTTTTTTGACTTGTCTGATAGACGATACATCCATAGTAGGTAACCAATGGATGAAACTAAGACGAAGAGTGTTGAAGGTGAAAATTCTGATGGAGAATAGGTATGATGTTGATGGTGTGGGTGAAGAAGGTAAGGAGATCACCTATCTTGTAATCGGGCTGCGTGACCGTGGCGATTGGAGCACGAATTCAAGCAAAAGTGGACGGTTGGAACAGCAATGTTATTTGTAAATTTTGCTCTACATTGTCTCTGGTACTGGAATTCATTCTATTTTGTGTTGACATAGTTTTTATCCTATTATTATGTTTAACTCAAAGCATTTTTTTCATGTACTAATAGTTGGTTTTTCTTCTAATAATAGAGTTTTGGCGATCACTTCGCACAAAACACATTATGATGATCCAAAAATATTCATATGTATTATTTTCGTTGAAAAATAATTCCCGAAAATGTAAAACGTAACAAATGAATTATTAAGAAAATTGAACATAAAACAATATTCTTATAAAAAAGTTTATTGTGAAATCATATAGTAACCATGAAAAATATTTAGCTATGATGAAGAGGAGCCATCAATATAGAGATGTTCAAAATCTATAATTACAACTTGTGTACAGTATTGAACTTTCTTATCACATTGAACATTTTCATTGAAATAAAAAGGCGATAGCAATCGTCTACACATTGCCCATTTTCACACGAAATAATCAATTTGACATATTTTGTTTTTAATTAATCATTAAATCAATAGTGATCGTTAGTTATACTCAACTAATGGACGACACCATCATTTTATTTGTATATTCTTTAGTAATTCCTTTGTCCAAAGTTCTAAAGATTTCAAGAAAGATAAGTCGTAGTTATCACAGCAAAAGTCGAAGTAAAGTCAATATACCAAAGTGCTCTGTTAAACTCTAACAAAAAATTTAAGTATAAACCAAATCGAAAGAGAATTTCTATATATTAACTACATTTCGACTTTTGCTGTACTGACCATAATTTATCTTTCCTGAAATCTTTAGAACTTTTAACAAAGAAATTATTAAAAAACATACAATAAAATGATGTAAATGTGATAAGATAAGTAATATGGATAAACGGATAGAACAACACTGTTATAGATTAGAAAGGGTTAATATCAATAAAACGTATCTTAAAGAATATGTTCTCGAGCAGATCGTTCGTATTTTTGATGGAAAAAAATGCGTTTACATGCAGGTTTGTGGAATTTTTTTTCGTGAACATCTCTATCTTCTTTTCGTTTTTCTTTTTCTCAGCATCTATTATTACTGTCAGTTTATTATTATGAGAGTTAGTGTTATTCGAGTTTGCTTCGAGACTTTTTTTAGTTAACAAACAATATACTTTTCAGTTTTATGAACTAAGGGTTCCCTCAAGACCAATTTTTGGTAGGAAAATGAAACTTGTCATCCGTTTTGTTCCACATAAAAAGGAAGAAATTTAAAAAAAAGAACTCTGTGGTGCCCTGCAACTCATGATGTTCTTTCAAACAAAAAGACAATACTAAATCGTTCTAACGGAGTCCTACAGATCTTTTAATTTCTTTCTTTTTATGTGGAAGAAAACTGGTGACCCATTCCATTTTCCTACCAAAAATTAGTCTTGAGGAAGACCTTTAAAGGCTCTTGAATATAACGAATGATATAAAATAAAACATTTCATATTTAAACTGATACTCTTCCTGAGCAGACGTCTTTCCTTTTCAGTGTCATTATCATTAAAATTTGCTTGAATTGTTAATGATGCAATTGATTATTTTCTTGAAAAATTTCGAATGATTTTTCACTATGTCAACGTTGTAATTAATTTATTTTTCTGATTATCTCACAAATTTAAAATACAAACAGATTTATTGTTTTTGTTATGGTTTGATAAAGTTAAAGCTAGTCGCGCTATGTATAGAAAAAATACGACTGAGAAGTTCTAGAATGAATTTTTCGATGAAAGACTATTGATTGGTTTGCAAATTATAGGAAATTGAGTATATCTAGATTTGGACAGATAATGTCTCCTTATATATATATATTCAAAATATTGATTATACTTTAAATAATAACAACTGTTTTGGAATTTTTACTATTTATCAATATTATTAAAACCATCATTTACATTTGTATACACGAGACATTCGATGAGGGTCTAATCGAACTTGTAATTAAATTTGTCATTAAATACAGAATTTTTTTGAAATATCAAAGCTTTATTGAAAATAAATTATTTATTGGAAAAGAATTCTTCTATTATAATATAGTGAAAGATGTTGTTGAATATCCATTCTTTTTTACAAGACAAATAATATCGCGTTAACTTCTCAGTCAAAGTAAACATCAATCATAATGCATATTTTCATATATTTATCTGAAATATCGTTTTCTTCAAATAGAGATCGAACAGTTGAAATCCAATGTTTTCTTCTCCTCCTTTTCAGATCAACGTTACCAAACAAAATAAAAATCATTAAAAAAAATTATGTAGATGTACTAGTTTCTATCCATTTTCTTTCGATTTTATCTGCATATTTACATGAATAAATGCAAATTTTATTTTTATCTCAAAACGAATGTATATTATATTTCTCTTGTACAGATTACAAAGTAACATTGAAGTGATAAACAATACTAAAAGTATCAGCACTAATAATGTTGTCGCAGAGCCTATTACATTTTTTTGAATATTTGATATTATCGCTGCTAAACGTTTTTGATTTTTTTTCAGACTTTTTCATTCATATGCGATGATACGCCAGGTTTTTTTTAAAGAAATGTTTCTCTTTCTCTCTCATTTTACAAGTAAATCTTATTGGCATTTGTTTCTTTTAAAGATAAAAGACAGCACACACACATTTACATATCATCTTAGTTTAGCTGGATTAGATACAGAATATGTGTTATTTATTTTTTTATAACTTTAGTCTCTTTAGGAGTCGTACAAAAATAGTGCCATAATTTTTGGAAATTCGTTTTCTTCCATCTTATTATCTCTCTTGTTGAATGTCTTTTGAGCGGATGATGTGAAAGTTATACATTAATTTTATTTATTCCATACTCTCTGTGTCGACACATTGTAGAGGGTCAAACTTTTTTGAAAGATAGTCTATGATCTCTTCTACAAACATTGCTTAGAAAATATTTTACTTGAACCTATTGGCTTTAAGTTAAGTACTTATTCCTTTAACTGGCTAAAAGACATGTTTGCTACATGAAAACAGACATGAAATTGCGATTTTATTTTATGGTTTATCAATTTGTGATAATAAATCTAGTTGTATAGGTTGATGGCCATTCATGAACACTATAAAATAGTATATAAACATTCTTTCTTATCTAATATGTTTTTCAAAAAACAATTACTTGGTTGATTTAAGCTCGAAATTGTCATGGCTAAAGAGAATTTTCACTTTCGAACTCTTTTATGTGCATAATATTGTTCGACCATTTGTCTATAAAATCATGTTAAAAGATTCTTTTCGAAACATATGGTGGCCAAACTGTACTAATTGTTCAAAATAACAAAAATTGTCATGTTCACACTGATGATTTTGCCAAACTTAACGACGCAAAAGATTTTATTATTCTTAGACAAATGAAGCTAAGTTTTCTCAAAGATACGATCGACAGAATTTTGAATATAATAACCGCTCATATATTTGAATTTGAAACACTCTCTTGTTTGAGAGAAGAAAAATCAAAACCCTTTTTTTCAAAAAGAGTGCGGAGGGCTCTTTCAGTCGACAGAAATGTTATATCTATAAAAATACTTTAGTACAAATACTCTTACCCTTCCCCCAGTAACAGAAGACCCCCTCTTATATCATGTTCAAGCGTCAAAAGTTTCAGAAATGGTCTTCTTATATAGAATAGACTTCTATCAGCGTGTGGGTGGATGTAGGTGCTCTTTATATCCACACTTACACTCACACCCTGAAATTATATAATAAAAAAATGTCTACCTAGCGTGGAATCAATAAAAATTATACTTATATATACACATCAAGCTAGATAGTACTACCAAGAGAAAATGGCTTCTGTTTGTCGTCACATTTTAGCATAAATAAATGACATTTGATAGTTTTGTCAAGATAAGTTGTGACAATGAGTGAAGTAGACTTTCTCTTTGATTGTACGACACATAAATTAAATAATATGTTCTTATAGTTGGAGATCATCGGTTGTTTTATGAATAAGGCATACTAAAATTGTGTAATCAAAGTTTGTTTCGACCGATCATAATATGGATATTTTTGTTTCTCAGCATTTACGAAAGAATTCAGGTCAAATGTTCACTTTTTAGAGGATTACGAAATATGTATGATACTCATGAAGAAAAAAAAGCATAATTTTCTCACTCACTCATTTCATAATTTATGTAGTCGAAATCGAAACTTCATAGATAAACTATGATGGAGAACTTTCTAAAAGCATAGAACAAGGTAGCTGTGAGGTCTCAAAAAACTTTGTTTAAGCTAATTCTTAACAATGCGAGCATAAAAAACACAATATTTCACAAACTCCACGAAAAAGTTTGTTGCTGACTTTTTAGACAATTCGTCGTCTTTACGATTTTTATGATTATTTTAATGTTTTGAGTAAAGGTCGTAGAAAATGCCATGATTCCTAAGCTTACTCTTTTTAAGAATGGCAATGTTTAAAGAAACCTAACTAAAAAAAATCTTCTGACACCAGAAAAATACTTCGTCCGTTTTCCCGAAAGCTAACAGTCATAGTTTATTCATGAAATTTTAATATAGAATGCATTAGATAGAAACCTTCATCAGTCATTAAAATCACTACCGTGTCATGATCTAGACGATTAGTATGATAGAAAAAAAAACTTTCTTGTTAAACTTTTCTCCACCATTTAAAACACAAAAATGTTTATCTTCTTTCAAGGATATTCGCTATTTTCATGAAGTTGATCTGAATGAAGATCGATTGAGCATACAAAGATTGTTCATAAATCATTTACTTCGACCATGTCGATAAGAACGCACTCAAAAATATAATTATCAGTATCAAGTTTTCAAAAGAATGAATTTTACTCTTAAAGAACCTCTTCTCATTAGAAATAAGATAGATAGACTGTTGTTATTATATGTTCATATATGAAACTTGCAAACCAATGCACATTTGACAAGTAGCTTGTTAATTTTTAGATAACTTTAAACTTTTGAAAGAGTAAAGCTTCCTCATAAATAAGCCGGTTTCAAAAACTATTCAAAAATACAACACTCTCGAGGGAATTTCATTAAATGCGAAAATTTGCTATCGATACATTATCTAATTATTTATTTATATGACGTAAGTAATGTTAGAACTGGATTCAATTTTTCATCTATGTTCGGCCTTAGATTCTCTATCGAATGGTTGGTATCATTTTCAATATGGGTTATCTAGCAAAAAAATTTCACTTGAATCTGCCTCTAGGTATTAGTAATGCTCGATCTAGATAACAAAAGTTGACAGATCAAGGATGAATCGAAAGCGAAGCCTCAAATTCTCCCTGTCGACCCATATTCTCCACCGGAGTCACGCCCACACCATTGATGATCAAGGACAAGGCATTTTTACTAGCGTAATCAAAATTGAATACACTGATACTTATTGTCATTTTGATTGAAAACGTAAGATTTTATTTTAATTCAAAAGAAATTCATTTTATAAACTTCACGAAAATTATTTCTTCAGTCGAAAATCTTTTGCAATCGGAAACTGGTATTGACAATGCCCGTCTATAGAATACAACTTTCTTATCTTTAGACTAGAAAATTAAAAAAAAACGCTTTTTAATAAATGAAAAAAAAAATGTTTCTTTTAATGACGATGATTATTTATATATGGATAGAGATCAAAATTAACAAACAACAAAATAATAAGTAAACAAAAAAAAAGAAATGAATAGAAAAATATCAATGAGAAGTGTTATGTGAAATTTTAAAATGAATGACATTAATATAATTGTTCACATATGGAAAAGTTTTTCTATTTCATCTTTTATAACGTCAAAAATTGCTGATTGATCTTTTGAAACATGAGAAACTGGTGATTCATCTGATTCATTTGATGGATACCATGAATCCAGCTTTTTTATTAACTTCAATAATTTTGAATAATGTTTATTTGTACGTTGAGTATCTTTTCACAACTGCAATGATTTTAATACTACTTCGTTAACATCTTGTAAATTAAATGAATCAATACTTCGTTCGATATTAGCATTACTCATAGCCATTATAATATTTAATGCACATATTAAATCAAAAGTTCGTTCATAAAAATAATATGGAAAACCTCGGCCAGATAATAATTTTAAACACAAATCTAAAAATGATTCACTAGCATATCGAAATGCACCTATTATTTCTACGCTGCCCCCCTTGTTATCCATATCAGATGCAAATGCAAAACCGAAATCAATTAATTTTATATGATTATTATCAGGATCTAACATTAAATTTTGTGGACGTATATCACGATGAATAACACGACAATCATATAAATAATTCCCTCTACTGAAAGGAGGGTCATACACCGAGTTAGGTTTGTCTGTTCGTAACTTCGTAACTTCGTTCGTTCATTCGCACAGAACGAAAAAAAGTTTTTTTGACCTCTCAATCACTCATTTTACAACAAAAGCCCAATAAGGTTATTTTTGGTCGGGATTTCGACCAATAGGATTTTTTGACATTGCAGTTTCAACCAATAGGATTTCAGGGAGAGGAGCAAATCAGCCAATCAGATTTCTTTAGCCAGTAAGTTGACCCAATAAGCTTATTTTTGGCCGAAATTTCGACCAACAAGGATTTTTGACATTGCGGTTCCAACCAACACGATTTCGGGGGGGGGGGGACGCAAAATTAGCCAATCAGATTTCTTTGGCCTGTAATTTGGCCCAGTGGGGTTATTTTTGATCGGGATTTCGACCAATAAGGTTTTTTGACATTGCGGTTTCAATCAATGAGATTTCAGAGAGGGGGGGGGGGGCAAATCAGCCAATCAGATTTCTTTACCCTATAATTTGGCTCAGTAAGGTTATTTTTGGTTGGGATTTCGACCAATGGGGTTTTTTGACATTGCGGTTTCAACCAATGGAATTTCAGGGAGGCGGCGAATCAGCCAATCAGATTTCTTTGGCCTGCAACTTAGCCCAATAAAGTTATTTTTGGTCGGAATTTCGATCAATAGGGTATTTTGACATTGGGGTTTCAACCAATGGGATTTCAGGCAGGGAGGCAAATCAGCCAATCAGATTTCTTTAGCCTGTAATTTGGCCCAGTA